CCCGAGCTCAGACAGGACACTTTCGTTGAATACACTGGACTAAGCGGAGCCAACTCACACATATACCAACGTTCCACGCCGTCGCCCGAGACGTGCGGTCCAGCCTTGACGATCCGACGGACGACATTTGAACAGCTTCCGAGAAATGTCGTTACGCCTGTCAATTCGTGAAGCAGCGGAAAAAGGCGATGATGCTTGGGGCAGAACGACGAACAGCAGCACAGCAGAACCAGGAGGATTCCTGCCCCAGAGGGTCAACTACACAAAGACCAAGCTTCGCACCGAGTACGCCCAGAACACGACATGGCTCATCCTCGCTGTATCAATAAGCCTTCTGGGCTCGGTTGCTACTTTTTTCTCCGACCGTCGTCGTTATCGTCGACTCCAGTTTCCGAATAACGAGACAACCAATAATATTAATTAGCCTCCCTTATTACTAGCTACAGTAGCAACGCGTTAGCTAACTAAGTAGTTGTACTGATGCGCCGAAGGGTTCAAGTAGGAAATTATAGCGAGAAGGGAGCTAAGAGTAAGGAGCCAATTGTGTAGTACGGTGTGCTCAACGACACGGATCTTCTCAGCTTTGCAGTTTCGGATGCAAATGGTGTTATTCATGCCCAGAGGCCGCGGAACGAAGAGATGCTATAATCTGAGCTTTTATGCTTGGTATGACTGGTGGTTTCTTGGGGCTTCGTGGGATTTGGAAGTAGCTCTACAGTTCTAGTATGGGATACTTTACTAGTACTAGTAACTAATGCTGGGAGGATATAATTTATATGGGACTGCTTGCATTTATTCTAGTTGGACAATTCAGGAACCATGATTTAGGTAGCGGTTAACTAGTAGTAGAAACAACTAGGAGCCTGTCGATGGTTATAGTACACCAAGAACGATATGGGGGGACAATAGGGAAGAGTAAGAGTACATACATGTAGGTGGAGAGCTGCATAGCAATATACTTAGAAGTACCTATAGCGCGGAGCAAGAGCGTACATACAGACATACACACCTCCACATAAGGTCAACCAGTGCCGGTAGCTGAAAGTACGACTTTGTCCTTCAAAACAACCCGTCGGTATCATCATCGCGGCCATGGTAGAGTACAACCCTAGGTAGGCACCTTACGTTTGTTTGGCTCGGCCAAGGAACAATATCCAGAAAGGCCGAAGACCACTTACACCCTTAGGTTCCGAATAGTTGCATAGTAAGCGAGGGACAAGCACCATCAGCATGATAGTCATCCGTCAGATTTAGGTTGAACAAGGGGTTCGTCGAAATAAAGCTTAACGAGAATTAAGCTTTTCCGATGTAGCCAATCACGGACCGTTATTTACACGTGTAATGAGCTTAGAAGCCAGGTTTTGGTTCTGGGTGTGATTCTAGTTCTAGTTCTAGTTCTAGATCTATTCCCAGTTGCAGATACCGACTCTACCATACGATAGAGGTACATGAACATGCATCGGCGAGAAGGAGCTCAATCAGTAGCTACCTAGGCTCCTAGGTAACTTGAGAAATTTCCATCCATCTACCTCGCGCGATTCCAATATAACCAGGGGCAAGGTAGCCTGCTTTCCATGATCATGGTCATGTAGGTACCTAGTCATATTATTCCAGTTTTCATATAATAATTTTTCTCATCCATCTTCCTTCCTCTACCGCGGCAGCTAAAGTAACGGACTGAGACTACTCACTCAGGATTACTACGCCATCTTTGAATAACCCGAGGATGATGCCTGGCTTGATGGGAAAATTCTCTCATCACCTTGGAGAAGCTACGTCTAAACATAACAAGGGAACCAAGTTTTTCAAGTGACCCAAATCAGACATGGTAGACATGGTAGACGTGGCAGGAAATGCAAGAACAAGGATCAAATCTTAAATGTGATCGACTCTATTATCGCTTCAGGTCGCTATTCACAAGTAGTCCCAGTGCTATGATCGTGACGTACTGGCGCCGCATTGCCTTGTTAGCTCTCTGTCGTTCCATTATCTTACTCTCCCGTTTTCCGCTGTCCCGTTGTGTCCCTATTGTTCTGTCATGTCTCGTTATGTCCCTAATGACCCGTTGTCCCTTGTGCCTATCCAGTGATCTTTATCACTTTGAGTCTGTGACTGTACATGTGTAGAGGTATGATCAAACAGGAACTAAACCCAATACCTGTTTCATTCCTTGTTCTTCCCTCAATACCTGGGAGCCAGTAAAACGCGCAGCAAAAACATGAAAGCAATAAACAAAAGAAGAGCAAAAAAGAGCAAATATTCGGAACGTATGATTGCCGAGACTGATTGAGATCAGATTCCCGAGAGTCAGAATTACCCCTGTCATGGGATACATGGCTATAAGGAGCAAGCAAAAAGCAGTGAACCTTCTGTTACTAGGACCACCACCGACAGGTATATACGGCAGCCACCTCAGGTTACGAACGTATTCTTCTTGTCCGGGTGCTGTGAGTTTGTCCACCGGCCACCCCAGCCAGAGAAGAAGAAGAAAGGACAACAGAAAATATGGCCGTGAGAGTACATGCCTATAAAGAACAGCATAGTCTTCCCCGTGCTCGTGGTGCAAGTGGGAAGTTGTAGGCCGTAAAGGCCGTACAAGAATTAAACAAAACAGAACAAAACAAACAGCGCTATTGTATGCCCTGGTCAAAGCCAGATGGGTAACCTCTGTTAATGAGAAAAGCGAAAGAAAAAAAGAGCAAATAAGATAATCCCACCGAGCGCCATATATCAATCCCGAAAGCAGCAAGTATATAAACTGCCTCCCCGTATCGCCCATCGTAATGCGTAAAAGCAAGCCGCAGGTCCGTGCGCGGGTTCAATTAACCAACCAATCGACGCCGAAAATCATCCTCATCATCACCAAGCATACCCCCCACCACCGTAATCATCATCCCGATCCATCCCATCCCACTCCGAATCCTCATCATCGTCATCCCCGCCGCTGCCGTCCACGAAATCCTCCATCGTCAACGTCTGCTCCGTCAACTTCTGGTTGTCCAGCTGCAGCTCCACCTTCTCGCACCAGCCGTGTCTGTACAGAATCTCGCCCGCGACGTTGGCTTCCCTAGGCGAAAGGGAGAGTTCCTCCGCTGACAGGCAGAGAGACGAGGTCACTGACATTTCACGCTCGCCGCGTTGGAAGCTGTTTCCGCGTGAGAGGGAGGGTGTGCCACCGTGGGATGATGGGCCGGAAGATAGAGCTGCGATGCGGGCGCTTCGGCGGGTAGACTGAGACTGCGAGGAGCCTGAGCCTTGTTGGTCGGCTTCGATGGACTGCGCTACCCATTTATCGGTCCGGGAGCGCTTCGTAGCGGAAGGAGGGATCTTGCTCGTTGAGAATGAGGGCATAATCTGCTTGGGCGTGGGAGGTTTTGGGGGGCGTAGTGTGAAGGGTGGCTTGGGGTCTTCCCATTTGCGGAGAAAGACGCCCTTAAGACGGGCTTCCCATCTGTCGCGCATCTCGGAGCGCTGGCGGATGGGGATGTTGAGCTTCGCGTTGATGTTTATGATCCGTAGATCAGGAAGGTCCGGAGCGGCTTTGATCAGGGACTGGAAGAGGTTCTCGGCTGCGTCGGCGGACCACTTGCGCATGTTCTGAAGCTCGAGGGTGCGCAGACTGACTGGCCAATCAGGGACTTCCTCCACGCTGAGGACCTCGTCGTAGCTGGGATCTGAGTCGTTGTAGAACTCGTGGTGGTTGTAGGTTTTGAGGTCGACACTGAGTGTCTGAAGGCATGGGCAGGCTGTGCCCAGAACAGTGAGGAAGCTCATGCTGAGCGACTGGTTGTGCCTCAGATAGAGGTGCTCAAGATTGTGAGCACGAGTCAGAAGGTATTCCGAGAAATCATCGGCAGTGATCTCCCAGCAGTTGACTAGCTCCAACGTCTTGAGAGTGTTGGGAAGGAGACTGAGCAGATGGTCGTTTGCGATGGTGGAAGATTCGATAGACAGCCACTCCAGTTCTGGAAGAGCGTTGATGGCTTGAGCGAATTCGCCGATCAAGAAGTTTTCGAACCCTTCGCTCTCTCGAACATCTTCGGGAATCGTTGGCCAGTTATGCAGCGGCATCGAAGGCACCTGGAAGTTCTGAAGACAAATCTTCTTGAGATTTGAGAAAGCCGGAGTTTGGTGAATAATGGCTGGGCTCTGCAAAGTCATGTCGGCGTTCATCAACCTCCCATTCCATCTCCAGGCCTCAAGTTGGATCGGCTCGTGCTCGGATCCTGGAGGGTCGCCGCCGTTGAGGAATTTCCACAATGCAGTTGGGTATTTCCATCTCAGGCTGGCTTCAAGGGACCGGAACGGGGCATTGTCCTTTTCATGATAGAAGTCGATAGACTTAAGCTGGGGGACGTTGGCAAAAAGGGCGTCCCAGTCGAGGTGTTGCCCTTTATAAGTCTTGGACGCAATCTCCGCCACATCGATCCGCAACTTCTTTACTTTCCACTTGTAGCGGTACAACCACTTTGAGGAATCCGAGGACAAGAAAGCCACGAGTCCATGTGCCATTTTCCGCGTGAGCAAAGGCGGGGAGTAGTACAATGCCGTCAGCGCTGGCTCTGCAAGGTCTTTACAGAGATGGCACGCAGACAAGAGAAGGTTGACAGCATCCCGATCGCGCTCGGCAGATGCATACTTGAAAATCAAGCGCCAGATCTCGTAAGGGAGCTCTTGCCACGGGGGGATGACTTTGGGTTCCTTCTCTGCTGTGTCTTCGTCAACATCACCAGAGTGGACAAGGTCTAGCTTGGATTTCCTGGACGATGCAGTTGTGCGTCTCTTGGTGTCAGTGGCCGGCGTGCCTCTCCTTCTTTTCCGGTCTGGCGTGCGTGGAACAGACGATTCCCTGGCTCTGGCTACAGACCCTCTGCCCCTGCGAGGAGTGGGAAGAGTTTCTTGGTCGGTATTGACGATCTCGTCATCTTGATCATCTGCTCCGTCACTGTCGTCTTCATGGAAAAAGCCGGACTGGGGACGACGGCGCTTTCCTAGTGTTTGGCGACTAGAGGTGATTGTTCGGGTGTTACTATGTGTGGTGCTCAGCTGGGTCTGGGTCCGAGATGGACGCCCCCGTGTTGATATCGTGGACCTGCGCGGTGGTTGTGCATCTTGTTCTCCGTCATCCTCTTGTTGGCTATCGGTTTCATCAGGCGTAGTGGTAGAGGCACTGTCACTATCGTCGGAGGAATATTCACGATAGTTGATGGACGATCTACGGGGACGAATATTGTGGTTGAGAGTGCCGGTGTTGTTGGCCTTGTTGCCACGGCGACCTCTAGTGGTAGTGCTGCTGCTTGTGGTGCCGTTGGAGTTGGAGATACGGTTCCGGGCAGCCCCTGCTGAATCCCCGCTGCGAGCGCTTCGTCTTAGTGGGCTTTCCGGGCCCAGATTTGATGTCGCACCGCCGCCGATTGAAACACCAACAGCGGCTGCCCCAGCACCCTGGCTCCCGGCTCGGCGTGGCCGCAGACTACGGCCACCAACTACCGCCGCTAACGCCTCCGTCGCCGATAGTGTAGATCTAGTACGGCTTCTCGCCGAAGCACGCCGGGCCTCCACCTTTGCCATGGCTACCTATGTGGTTCAGCAAGCGGCATTGAATGGGGGCAATGCTTTGTTTGTGACTGATTGATTGTTTGTGGAATTGATTGAGTGCAAAGAACTAATGTGGCAAGGTGCATCCAACAGATGTATAAGTCCGTTGTTCGTGTTGTTGGAAGACGGATGGTTGCGAGTGGGAAAATGGGTTCAGTTTGCGACAAGTGATGATGAATGGACGGGGCGCTTGTGAGCACAAGGACCAGTTCCGGAACAGGAAGTGGAAGTGGTCAGTCAATGGAAAATGGGAGGCGCCTCTTTGGTTGCTCACTGTGCGGAAGTGCTAAATGGACAATGTCCAGCCATTCTGTCCAATCACGGGACTCAGCCAGCGACAATTCGAAGCTTGTGGCACGAACCATATTAGCTAATCAACGATGCACGAGCCATTAGAAATCCAATTTCAAACGATACGACCGACCAAGCCTAGACCCGAGTTCTTGGGACTCAGCTGCATGTTGAAGCCAACAGCCGTTGCATCAAAACTCGATGCCATGTTTAAACTGATAACTTTGTTCTTTGCGTACCTCTGATAGTTCATAACTCTAATTGCCAATGAAGAAACTATCCCGAAACGCTCTGTAGGTAGAACCACATATCTTCCCACCACAGCACTTACAAAGCGAGTGCTCTGGACAAAGGACGGCAAAAAGGACCAGGCCGTTCTCGTGCACCATCAACAATGAAACTTCAGGAACCATGCATGCTACGAAAGAAAAAAAGAAAAAAAAAACACTCATGCCCATCGCGTCTATCATACAGCCATATTTTAATTAAAGCTCCCGACATATCAAGCAAGGGAGCAAAAAACAGAGCAAGAAAAAAAATAACCGTTGCAGCATCTCAGTATACGAGATGGGCAAAAGAAAAGATAACTCGATCCACCCAGGGGTCGAACCTGGAACCTCCTGATTCGTAGTCAGACGCTCTGCCATTGAGCCAGCGGACCTTGTTGAATAACCATCACAAGTATTGTACTTATGTAAGGACCTAAACAGGTATTATTTCCTTCAATAATTCTAGGTAGTCTCCTGGCTGGCTTGAATGAACATCGTGCTCCCCATATTTGGACATGGCACTTGTAGCCTTGGTCTATCTGCAAAAGCACCGTGCCTGTCCATGTGTATTCATAATGACGCTACAAACGTTCCGTGATCCATTCCTTGACTTGAACCTCCCTTTCCCAGTTACCCTGTGTTTTCCCATGAACGCCGAGGATGCATCAAAGCAAAGCACCCATCTAGTAACAAGCTTCTTCAATGAAAGGTTGCGCCTAGACATTCCTGCCGTCGAGTCGCCTTCCCTTGCTCTCCTCCGGCTTCTTCTCCGAAGGTTGCGCCTTATCCTTATCCTCGTCATCGCCCTTTTTCTTTGGGACTCCTCCCCGGAGCGTCTGTCCCTGGCCAGCAAAGTGCGGCTGTTTCGCCGCGGCTGCCTCCTTCTCCTTATCCGCCGCAGTCTTGACAGGCTTGATCTCGTATCCCAGGAAGAGCTTGTTGGGCGGCAGACGGAGTGGCAAGGGGCCGTTGTTGTTCTTCCTCCTGGGCAGGACCACGTCCTTAACGTTGGTCGAAGTGCCCGCCACCGGCGTCGCCGGCTTCGGTGTTCCCGTCTTGCTGCCCTTCTTCGCCGCCAACCGCATACCCTCGCCATGGAAATTGCCCGCCGACAGGGTGGTGGCTCCCGGTGCGATAGCATCGTAGTTGATGGCCTGAGCCATGGTTCCCTGGTTGTGCAAGAGACCACCCGCCGGAAGTCCTCCACCAACAGCCCTGCCGCTGCGTGGTGTGCTGGTACCGCTGCCTTGTGCAGGTCGCGGCGGCTCGACATAGCCAACTGGCGGCGCAAAGTCGACGCTGACGTCTGTTTCGATCATGCAGACACCCATCTTAGCGGTCTCCGGCTTGACGTCCAGAACCGCCATTTCGTAAATCTCGTCGTTATATTCAAAGTTGAAAACATCGCCCTTGGTCAGGGCGGCAAAGTTCCGGAATGCCTTTTCGAGGACGGCACGAGGATCGCTAATATCGAGGAAGTTGACGGATTGCGGCTGAAGCTTTACAAGCTTGGCGAGCTCGAGAGATGTCGTCTTGATCTGGATTATGTCGCCCACCTCGAGCTTGAGTGTCTGCATCATCCACTGCGGGATGTAGGCCCTACCCTCCTCAGCCACAAACTCCAACACACCGGCGTGTGTGTGCGCTCCCAGCGAGCCGTTGATGAGCTCTAGCATGATAGGCCATTGTACGTGTAGTCGCGAAACCTTGTCGAGGGCGGAAGGCGGAAGCAGGATCTTGGAGCCGTAGTTGAGTTCAGGTCGTTCGGCACCGGGCGCCATGACAAGGGGGTAGCAGCGGTAGTACTCATCGAAGCGTCGCGGGACCCGAGCGCCACCGCCGGCGCGGCCTCCGTAGATGTCTCCGTACTGTCATGGCCAGAGCATTAGATAGGTCCGGCTAGATGGAGGGTTCGAACAGCTCTCTCTCTTTGTAAGCGAGCTGGAGGACAAGGGTAGCTTACCATGATGGCGAGGGAGCTGTGCTGGAGGTGCGGTAATGTGATGCTTTGGAAAAGGAAAACAACGAGGTATTTGTATCAAGAAGGGATATCTCTAGGTAAGTTCCGCAGGATAAATACCCGCGCCAACGACGTAGGACAAGCGCAGTGAAGGGGATGTTGTGACGGTGTTGAACTTGAAGCAACTTGACCGCGTGGAAGGTTCCAAAAGGCAACAACGCAGATGACATAACTGGGCCAAGCACCACGGCTCCACTGAAAGTTACAGGCACGTTAGGTAATGACTGGGGCACTGGCAAGGGTACCTGCCTCGGCGGGATTGGCGGGGTGAGAAGGTGTGGCCGTGGCGTCAGATCTGTGAAACCGTACTGTGGCGCGAGCTCCCCCAATCTTAAACGCTTAGGTCAAGGGTACCTTGAGCGCTGCCTGTCCACTGGAGAACGCTCTGGACCTTGATGTCAGTGATGCGAGTTCATCAGATTCACGATTCTGCCATCCGGAATTCTCTCCAAACACCATCCATGCTCTTGAATTACCATTCGGCCGTCGACTCAGGCAAAACAACCAATCTACTGCGGGCTATACACGCACAACACTCTGTGATCCGGAGACGGAATACGTCCTTGTTTGAAGACAAATATAACAATTCACATCCTGACGTCAATACCTCAACACGACATATTCACACAAATCACAATGTCCTCTCGCTTCGCCGCCGCGCGCCCCAAACGCGCCAGCGAAGCCTACGCCCGCGCCCACCACGGCGAATCGCGTGCCAGCGACTCCGACTCCGGCCCTTCCAACAAGAAAGTCAAATTCGACGTGCGCAACCCGTCCGCGCTTGCGCCCTCGGCGCACGATGACGACCTAGATGAAGCCGACGACGAGATTCTCGCCGCCGACGTGATCGGGGGTCTCTCACGGGCCACCAAGCGCGGCGCCGTCAACATTGACGGATACGACTCCGACTCGGACAATGACAACCTGGAAGACCGGGCGGAAGCGCGAGGAAAGGGTCGCAAGAAGGGCAAAGATGCCGAGGACGTGGATCTGGCGGAGGTAATGGACAATTACAACAAGCCTTCCAACGGGGCACAAGGCGGGAATGATGACGACGACGAGGTGGACATGTTCAACGACCTGGAAGACGACGACGGCGCCGAACCTACAACAGCCGGTGGCACCAAGAAAGGTAAATCCGTGCACTTCCTCGCTGACACGGAAATCGAAGGCCAAGACCTGTCCTCCAAAGCCGGCGGAAAAGTCACCATCGACCCCGCGCACCAGCCTAAAGAATCCGACGAAGACGACGACGACGACGGGGATGACGAAGAAACCATAGCAGCCGCCATCGCCGAAGAGGGCATCGACGAAGAAGTCGGCCTCGGCGGCCTCAAGAAACACGCGCCCAAGATCGACGCCTTCAACATGCGAGCCGAGCAGGAAGAGGGCGCCTTCGACGAGGCGGGCAACTTCATCCGGCGCGCAGCCGACGCCAACGCCGTGCACGATAAGTGGCTCGAGGGCCTGTCCAAGAAGGAAATCAAGAAAGCGGCGGCGGCGCACGAGAAGCGCGAGGCGGAGCGCCGACAACAAGAGAGGGAGGACGACAAGATTGCCACGGGCGATTTACTTCGCAACCTGATCTTGACGCTGGAAAAGGGCGAGACGGCGCTGGAAGCGCTTGCCAGACTTGGAAAGGACAAGACTAAAGGACCGAAGAAGGTGCCCAAGTGGAAGATGAAGAAGCAGGAGCGGAAACAGGGGATTGATTCGATGGACATTGACGAAAAGAAACAAGAAGAAGCAGAGGACCCCAAACAGAAGAAGATCAGGGAGGCGATTGACGCCATCACCGAGGCGGCGGATAAGTTGCTGGGGAGGGATTATCCGGATATTTACGACAAGGAGCGGGAGTGGTTGGTGAGAGAGTATCGGGCTGAGACGGGCGAGACTTGGATGGAGCCTACTAAGCCCAAGGAGGAAGAAGAAAGGGAGGAAAAGCCATTAAATGGGAACGGGCAACCAAGGATGTGGGAGTTTAGGTGGACGGATGGGAGAGATGGCGGAGGAGAAGGAGGAGGAGGAAGTCAGGGGCCGTATGATGGGCCGACTATGAAGGCGTGGCAGGATGCTGGATACTTTAAGGAGGCGGTTGAGTTTAGGCCGGTAGGCGGAGGGGAGGGTGACTGGTCTAGGGTTGCGACGTTCGTATGATCACAACACCAAAGATGTGTTTGTGAGTGTGGTGGGATGCCGTATGGTTTTTGTACGATTTTGTGTGTGATGATAGTATATATACCCCCTAGTTGGAAATGACGACAGAATCAAAACATCAATAATATCTATTTTCAGAACTTCCCAGCAGTTGGTATCATAACCATAGTCCCCATAAACGCTCTCTCTTTGCTACGCCATGCTTCGACTTCAGACGGACCTGCTCAGTTACTTTGTATCATACAACTGGACACTATTTGCAATACCCACCACACAATCTCATTCACAATAACTTGACAAAAAAAACCTTGACTGGGGGCCAGCACACAAAAAAGCAGTAAGAAAACTTTGTTATTCATATCAAAGACGCCATGTTTTGTTTAGCCATATCCCAATTAAACGCCTACACGAAACGAATTATAAACCCCAAGATCATTCATTAATCCTTGATGTGTGCTTCCATGTCCCATTTCATCTCCTCCCTTTAGCCCTTCAGCTGCTGATATCCATGGAATCACCACCAGCCGTAGCAGCAGCAGGCGCCGTGGACTCTCCCGCAGCACCAGCACCGCCATTGACACGGAAATCAACCGCGCCATCGTTGCCGATAAGCCTCTGCTCCGACTCCTGTACGAACTTGACGCTCCTGGCAGGATCGTAGAACAGCTTGAAGCTGCGCTGCACGTCCTCAACGCTGACCTGCTTGGCCTTCCTCTTGGCGCAGATCAGCTGCGACGTCGTGATGAGGTTGCTCGCGTACCGCAGGCCGGCCTCGGCGCCGATCTTGGTGAGCAGCGCGAGCGCGTCGGGGGAGAGGTCGACTTCTTCCTCCTGGGCGCGGATGGTCAGAATCTGGTTGAGCTCGTCGGGCGTGTACGAGTGGGTGTTGATGATGGAGATGCGGTCGAGGAAGTCGAGAGGGAGACCGTGCGGGCTCTTGTAGTCGGTGCCGCGGATCTTGGAGTGGCCCCTGTTGCTGGCCATGATGACGATAGGGGCCAGGTCAGACTCGAGCGCCCTGTTGATGTAAGAGAAGCACTCGATATCGAGCATGTGCACCTCGTCGATGAACAGGACACCGGGCACGATCTCGGCCTTGCCCTCCTCCTTCCACTCGGCCACCTTAGTGTTGATCTGGTCGCGGATCTCGCTGCGGATCTCGCCCGTGTCGCCCGAGAAGAGAGCCAGGAAGCCTTGTGTCCGCGAGTTGATGACGTCGATCTCGTGCAGCGTTACTGTGTGGACAACCTCCTTGCGCTTCTGTAGCTCGCCGTCAGGGCACTGCAGGAACTTGGTGTCGACGCCCATAGCGTCGTAGTCGCGCGACCGAGCATACGATCGGCCCAGCTTGGTAATCTTTCCAGATGACTTGTCTATCGAGATAATGTCACCCGCCATGACGCGCTCCTTGGTCATCGCGTCAATCATCTTGCTGCCCATGTCGTAAATAGCTTCCATGTCGGTCGTCTTGATTGTGAGCTTGCCCTGCTTGGCGTGCCCGGTGACGCTCCGGTCGATCTGAATCTCCACCACCTCACCCTCCATGATCTCGCTCTCCTCCTTGATCCTGACGCCAATCGACTTGCGGAATGCTTGGGTGAGAGCCTCGGTTTTGGACATCTCTAGCGAGTAGATTTCGGAAGCGGCAAGGGTGGTAAAAGGCACATCGGTGCCGAGGGACTGGGCCATGCCCATGGCAAGGGCAGTCTTTCCGGTACTGGATTTCGCGTTGGTTAGTATACAACGGTATGCGCCACAGCTTTAACAACAGAAAACGGGCTAACCTGGGAGGACCGGCGATAAGTACAGCACGGCCGGCAATCTTCCCTTGCTTGATCATCTCCAGAACGACAGCAGCCGCCTTGCGCGCCTTCTCCTGGCCGACAAGGCCTTGGGAGGCAGCTCTAGGCTCGAGTGTATCGGCATCGACACCCAATCCGCGAATGTGCGAGTGCGCTGCGATGAGGTTGAGACCCCGGAGGTCCTTACTCTCTCCGACGGTGACGACCTGCTATGTCATGGGCGCAAGGGGTTGTCAGCTATTGTTCCGTCGAGGTACTGTGCTGCTGGGAGGTAGGTGGGGAGCTTACAGCAGCCATATTGCCCACTGATTCGCAAAGAATGAAGTTTGAATAAGTCGATTGTTGTTACAGAGTTCTCCAAGAAGGGCCGTTTGGGTCTGAGTATCAAGGTCGGAGATGGATCGTTCGTAGGTGGATGCAGGGATGCTTGGTGGTGAATGATGGAATGTTGGCTGAAAAGAGAAAGACGACGAAGGTTCAAAGCTGCAGTGCGCGTCGCGCTGTGATGGAACTTTGCAGTGAGTCGGCTTCTCCAATTGCAGAGACAGGCCGGGCATCCAGTGGTTTGTTACCAGTGGTTACGTACCAATACGACCTTTTGGTACGCCGACTTACACGCCACTGTGGCTGAGAACACAAACAGCGATGACCTGAACAAGGGACGGGACCGCCCCGGGACTTGCGCCGGTGGAAGAAGTTGCCGGCACGGCCTTTCTGTGACCCACAAGACCCCGAATTCGTAGACCCACATCGGGAGTCCGATTAGTTTGTGCAAAACAAGACCTCTCATTTGCATTCAATAACTTTCAGAATTGAAATAGGCCGGAGCATATGTCTTGTATGCGAATTGACGGCATTGATAGGCAAACATGCGAGTACTCGTTGGGACCGTGCTCTAGACGAGGACGGGAGACTTAAGTACCTATATGTATGTGAGGCATTCTGTCATCCTCTCCGTACAAGGACGTCTGTCCCATTGCAAGCGGAATGCAGTGAATGCCTGATGGTCAAAGACGAAGCCCAAAGCAATAATTCGGATATAGAAATGACGTTCAGCCAGTCACAAGCAGTGAACGAGCAAACCGACAAGGGTTCGTAGCGCCTTCCTTCAAGAGAAGTTCTGTGAGTGGAAGCTGCAACTCTGCAACTTGGCAATGGACCTCGGCCTCAAGGGTGCCCGGTCCCCCAAAAATATTTAAACCAAATTTGCCCACCAAAACAGCAAAAAGCACATTCAATGTTATCTTTTCCTTCCGCCATCTTTGGCGATTATAAAGCTGGCGTTCCGGCATGCATTCAGGACTATTCGCTCGACAGTCCATACAAACCAGGAAAAGAGCATCTCAACTTGTACCTTTGCGTGGCAAGCCCTAGTCTGATTCCATAACTCCTTCCCGCCTGGAGGTGCGGGGTTTGCCAAAACTTTCACTCTACCTACACGTCTACCCGCATACATCCATCCCAATTCCCAGGTGCCAGTGGTATCACGTTAGAAACACATCTACAATCTTCAACCAACAATATCGAACATCAACACCTATTTCAGGCTCAATTCCGACATTGAGTGACGTCTGTACCGCTGGCACGGGCCGCTCCCCGCTGCCACGAATACATTACCACCTTGATCTGTCTTCCAGTACCCTCCTCGCCACACATTGTCTGTTAAGCGCACGCTTGATTGCAGCGTCTCGTCTCACTGCGCAACTATTCATCCGCCTGGTGTCACCATGTCTTCCAGGCCGCCGGATCCGTACGCGAGGCGGCCCTCCACTTTAAACGACCGCCGACCATCGGTAGACACCCATCAGCGTCGGGATAGCCACCATCGTAATCCTTTCAGAGAAGAACGCAGAGAAGAACGGCATTCCGAAAGGACTATTTCCAGTCATGCAGGTTCTCTGGCCAACAGGCCACCAAACAGTTGGAATGATAGCCATCACCGGGACCGAGATCGGGAACGGGATCAGCAGGAAAGAAGCCGGGATCGTGAACGGGATCGTGAACGGGACCCTGGCTTGCCTGATGCACCTGCAAGAGGCCTGACAGTAAACACACAAACCGCATCGACAGGCGAACGTGCTCGACCAGACCATGGACTGAACACCCGTAAGCTATCCACAGTCTCTCAACAAAAGAACAAACGAATACTGACTTCGATTGCAGCGGCCACTGCCTCATCTCCTACAAACAATTCCAGGAGTGCCTCAGACGTAGAGCTAGCAAGATGTCTCAGGGCACTGTGCGACTCTCTTATCGGTTTTACTGCGCACAAATATGACCTTACCCAGGCTGAAAAGGGCCTCACAAAGCGGCAAGCCGACTACAACAAATCCCTGGCTAAGCAAGCAGATTTCCCTTCAGTACCAGAACTGCAAAAGAAGTTCTTGGATGGCGCCACCAAGGAACGCGATGAATACAGGCATAGGGTGCGCACTGCTGAAGATGGTATCAAAAAGGCGAGAGATGGCTTTCTCTCCTGTTTACTGCAGCTGGTGAAGTCTGGTTACTTGCCACCTGCGTTATTGCCTCCGGCTTCTACAAGCTCGAAGGAGTACGACGATAAAATTGCTGAACTAGAGCAAGCCTTATCAAGCCACAAGAACGACGCACAAAGCAGGATCAACGCATTGCAAGATCTTTACGACGGCCTCAAATCTAAGAGGCTTCTGGACCAACAAGACATGGAATCCCGATTTAAGGACCTCGAGGACAAATTTGGCAAACATCAGCGAGAGTATGAAATCAGAATTGCGAAGCAGCAAGAAGAGTTCACGAAGCAACTCCACACAGAGCTGGCTAAGCAGCGGCAAGACTTTGAGCAGAAACTTGCGAAGCAAAGCAAAGAAATCCCGAAACAAAACACGAAACTCGAAGAACAGATCAACAAGACGCAGGCAGACTTGAAGAAATTGAAGGAAGCCCAAGAGCAGGAACTTAAGACACAGCTAGCCAAACAACAAAAGAAGTACGAGAAGCAACTTGAGCAACAACTTGAGCAGCGACGCGCTACAGCACAAGATGCTTCAAAGCAAAACTCAGCTACCGAGGTGGCGTCTCTCCGGCAGGAGCTTGCCGACCTACGCACCCATCTGGGAACCAGAGAACAAGAACTCAACCAAGTCAGAGCCCAAGTTGCGGAGTTCCAGTCCAGAGACCAAGAACTCAGCCAGATACGAACCCAAGTTGCGGAATTCCAGCAAAAGATGGCGAAACAAGAGGAGACACTAGAGAACATTGATTTCGAGGGGTTGGATCAGGCAGCAGAAATTATATCGTTTGGATTCCCGGCGCTCAAAGACCGCGTTGCGGATCTGGAGACCAAGACACCTCTGGACGTCTTGGGACTTACCAAACAAGTTGCAGACTTGGGGACAAAAGACACAAATGTTTCCGGACTTAGCCAACAGGTCGCGAATCTGGAGACGAAAGTGATACAAGTTTCAGCGGCCCAAAAGGAGTCCAACAGGAAACTGGAGGATTTCCAAAACAAGTTCGCTGTTACCTTTGGGCAACTGGTTGATGCTGAGCGTATCAGGATAAACAAGCTCACACATGAAGTAAACAACCTTAAGCTGAGGCCCACTGCTGGAACGCCAACTCCTCAGGCTGGAGTCAGCACAACAAATCTCGAACCTCTCCGTGCCGAGTTCAAACAAGCCAAGGCTGAGCAGCAAGCAACGATCGAAGACATACAGAAGCAGACGGCGGCGCTGGACTTTGCAATCAACAATCTCAGCCAGCGCTTTAACAACATCACTACCAAGCACGTGGCGGACATGTTGCTCCAGCAGCTGATTCCGGAAACGGAAAAGTGGAAGCTAGACCAAGAGGATCTCCATAGAGAACTTGACTCGCTCAAACTCAGTGTCAGTATCTTGGAGGTCAAGACTGCAGGGCTCGGTGTCGAGGCTGATGTTCAGCGAGGATTGAAACGGCGCCGAACCGACCTGGACGGGACGAATCTCGAGCGTCCCGCTTCAACTACTGGTGTAAGTTTACGTTATGAGTCGAATCGTCTATTGATTTAATAGGAAGAATATTACGATACTAACTTGCGGAAATAATTATAGCAGCCAAATGATGTTCCATTATAGCTAGACCGGCGTTATTATTCTTGGTTGTAAGAGAAACTTGTATGACAAAACGAAAGTCTGACTAAGAAGTCAAAAGTAGGCTTGTATAAGTCAGGAAGCTCTTAGCATCCAGTAATATAAGTGGTAACTACACCACTTGTGGCTAGGTTAAAGATTACTTAAGGTTGGCGAGTTGGCAGACTGAATAGCTGCTTTAAGCTACTTGGAATTTCAACTGCGGTTTTCCAAAAGGAAGTTGAGAATTCCATTTTCCAATCTGATCACTGAAAAAGAAAAAAAGAAAAAAAGAAAAAAAGAAAAGATAACAACAATTTCCAGAGTGCAATTACACTCAAAGCATCTGCAGCTTAGTGGCGGACTGACAATAATACTATATGTTAAGACACACACTGGAATGCAAGTTACGTAAGCAGGGCGTTATACATTAGAATCAGACATCACTGGTGTTGATAAGAGGTGGTACACTATTCTAGATATTGGACATGGATGTCACGGCGTAACCAGAGGGCACGTTGTGTACGATTTGATTAACTTAGACTAAGAATAAGAAGCTGAAGAGGGAAGAAATCTCAAAAGGGAACGCTCGATGCCAGAGCTGGGTTTTATACCCAGACCACAGGCGACAACCAGTGACAGCCAAACTCGTGAATGGGATGACCCGATTGAACAGCACCCATGTGAATGGGAGCCTTGATGGCAGGCATGTGACAGCCCAGATGGTGCCAGCCGTCACAATGGATGCAGAGATACATTTTTAGAAAGGGAGCAAAAACACATACCTTAAAGCTAACATACCGAAAAGGATTATCATCTTATTCTTCGATGATTTGGTTCCCCCTTTTCCTATGAAAGCGCCCTGTCATCCCGACACATTTCGTAACATCGACATCAAGCTTCATGGAAGCTGTCGTTCCAAACATGGAAGTCTTGGCATCATGAGTAAACGGTGCAATTGACCCCCCTTGTCGCGGATCTTCTTGAGCTGAGTGTGTTTGGGGGTGAGGATCTCCCGGGTCTCACACCTTTTGGTTCCAAGTGCCGCGCCGGCCGGGTTGAGCCTGCAGTCCATCACAGGGCTTGGAGTCGAACAGGGCAATCATCAGTGAGCAGCGGTCGGTGTGGAGCTTTTCCTTGCCCGTTGACGGGAGCTTGTTCCATGTCGTCCGCTTGCGCTGCTGTGGCCCTGGATGGCACTACCTAGAGCTAGGTACTCAGACATCAGCTTCATCATCGCGATAGGTCTTGATGATGATGATGATTTGAGGCTAGGAATGTTGTATCAAAGACGAGGAAACAGAAGACAGTAAGTAGGTTGATATAAAAACTGTGTCGAAGAGAGCTGGACGAGCTCCTCATGCCCGTATCACCTATCACAGGGCGTGGGTCGAAACGTGTGCTCTGGAACCTCAAGCTGTCCATGCAGCCAACTTAAAGTGGGAGCTGTTTCGCCAACCAGAATCATTCTCGTCGTAAACAAAATTCTGTAGCTTTTCCAGCTATCCGTGTTAGTGCACTCAACTACCTAAACATTCAGATAGCCAGAAACGCATCTGATCTGCCTAACACCAGATCAAAGGGAATATTGGCCTCCTGTTAAGAGAAATTGCCTGAGAAGCGAGAAAGAAATGAAAACAGTAACTTCCATCCGTCACAAAGATTCATAGCTACATACAAGAACTTCGCTGTCCCTGGCTGCACGCAAGCTCCTCATCTGCGGAGCTACTTGTTAGGGTAGGCAAGTGGAAGCAAACCTGCCCGTGAAGCGGAGGCAGAAGTACATGAGGCTCTTTGAGATGCCTGACATGGAAACAATACGGACGTCGATACCTGTAGGTAGTAATCATACCTCTACATTAACTTGCATCATTTTACATTCAGATATTGGTTCCCGTTCCAACTGCAAAGTTATTCTCCTTTCTTCATCTGTGTTTCATTTTCCAGGGACCAGGAAGCACAACCTTGAACACTCTTTCCACCCTCTTCCCTTGGCCCTGTGGCCTGTGTCTCAGTGACGAAACACAAAGCCGCCGAGTCTTCTCATTTTAGTGTATATACGCCGCTTAGCTGTTAGGGTGTGGTCCACTCGTCAAGCGCGATGCCGCACAGTGGCCGCTCAACCGCTACCGCTACCGCTACCGCTACCGCTACCGCTCCATCCATCTCGCTCCGCAATAATCTCTCCGCCCGGATACGACCCGACCGACCGCTAACCACCCACGCTTTTCCACTACAAGTCCCAGGGGAACCTAGGGCATTCCTGCCAATCTCCATCAACCCGAAAGCCAGAGACCACGACAACGGCACATCTCTCTCAACACCCGACCTGCAACCACCACACGCACACGGCACTGGACACAAGCAAGACATCCGACACCACTCGGACACCCATTTATCCATCCTGGAAATGTAAAGGTACGTTACCTTATTGCGACGGCACCTCAAGTGACGGGCAGCCCAGGTCCATCACCACCACCACCACCTAGGTCTCTAGCAAAGCAGTAAGTACCGGCCACGGCTAGCACGCCCGACCACAGCACCACCACAACACCACACACCACAACACACCATGCACCCGTCACCCGTCACGCCTTGACCCTGCTGCCCTTCCAAGCACTTGTCCCCGTTTCCACCTTTCTACTCTCCACTTTCATTCAGGTTCCATTCCATTGCTCGCGCCCCCAGCAATCCCACCTCGGCTTCCCTGCGCAACACCATCCGAACTCCGGCCTTTTCTTTCGCGATACCATAATACCTTGGCTGGCCAGCTAAATCACTACAAGTATATTATTGCTGTCGGATACACCACCGCTGTGCGCGCAGTCCCATACCCATCCGCTATCTCCAACGACGCGTTACGACCGACCAACAAACGACGACGACGACGACTCCATCTGCTGCACCTTCGGGCCGCTCCCCCCGCCCTCCCCCCTTCGAACCTGCTCGGGCACGCTCACCGACCGATTGCTTCGTCGTCGCATGCGCTGCCCATAACTACGGTTGCCCGACCGAGACATGCGCCCTTGTCTGCTATCCCATATCAAGGTTGTCGATAGGAGGCTAGGATAGAGCAAAGTTAGAAACCACAATCATACGTTGTCGTCCCCATTGACGGGCGGGCAAATGAGGAGGAAACCGGCTGGTGTTGGCGATCCACACACGACAACACCGCGATAGCGAACCGAACCGCCGCCGCCGCTTGATCTACTTAAGCTGTTGCTGCCACCGCACCACACGCGCGCACGCGTTTCTCACATAACAGAGAGAAAGAGAATCGCAAACACACACTGAATACTGGTTAGGTATGCCATCTATCTTCCTGACTTGTTGTCTTTTTAGTGACGAATTGTGGTGGTTTGCTGCGTGTCTTTTGCGTCTCCTGCTTTGTTTTGTGTTCCATTCAATTGCCCCGCAAACCCAAAAGTTGAGGTTGGGATTTGGACATCAGTTGGACCCCAAGGGACCTCTCTCTACTGTACCTCGCAAAGCTGCGATCCCACTTTGTCGCGTTAGCCATATCTTCATGTAGACAGGTGCTCTGACGACTTACTTCTTTCCCCTTTTGCTTTGTTTTGCATGAGGATGACGCATGCTAATTGTGCAAATCGCCAGACCCTACTGCGAACCAGAACTTCGGCTATTGTGAAGGTCGTCGACCCGCCTTCCATCCCATCTCCGTCGCATGTTTGTGCATTGAATACCTATTCATACAACCCCACGCAATACCGCACAATACGAACCCTCTGCGACGACTTTCTGAACCCGGGTTGAGGACCGAACCTTACCTACGCTTGCTCTACTTCGACTCAGTCTGCAACTTTTTCACTTCGTCCACGAAACGACAGCTACGAAATCCAACACACAATATCTTACCAATTCTCGATTGCCGCGCCTAATCTTCGAACCCGACACAAAGAGACAAGTTACACGACGTACCCCCGACTTGCGCTTCCCCGGAGTCCAATGTGCCAACGATGAAAAGAACGATGGAAGGAGCGGAAAAGAATGCAGACAAATTGGCTAAGCGCATATTACCACAACGTCCGCACCACCTTACTTTGTCCCTGACGGACAAGTACCCCGAGCCTGCTGGCTTCTGGTATACCGGGAAGAGTCACCGTCTCCAATACACCACATACCTCTCAGATTGCGATCGAGGCATCCTCATCACGCGGCCCTCGTATGACATTTGCGAGGAGCCCCCGAGCGCCCACAGCGCTATGCCTCCAAAACCGGCTCCCTCTAACGGGGAGGCCAAGAAGAAACTTTCGTTGAAGGATCCAGAGGTGGAGGAAGGACCCTTCTGCTACACCAAAGCCGGATGCCAAGCCTGAGGCCAAGGGTGACACAAAAGTCAATGGCGCAGTGGAACAGAGTGCGCCCGTGAAGGAGAACATCAAGCCTGACGATGCCAAGCCGAAGACGAAGCTCGTTAGGTCAGAGAGAGAATCAGAAAAGCCCCGTATTACGGTCAACGGAGACAGCATACGAAGCTCCCACACCCAGTCTCAGGTTGAGGCTGATAGTCGGAAACGGCCTGCAGATACCGAACGCGAACAACACAAGCGGTCCAGGCCGGATACTAACCACGAGACATCGCGTCTTCCCCCGAAGCCCGAGGCACCACGAAATCGCCTGAGCGACAAAAAGGACAAGGATACCA